ATATCATACTTATACCTCTTTAGATTTAATCTGCATCATTGCCAACTTTGCTCGGATAACGTTTGTGAGTGGATGTCCTGTCTTGAAGTACTCCGAATTTCCAGTAAGATATCAAGGATACCATCAGCTTGTCAGAAATATTGAAGACCTAAAATACATGTTTGCTTTTGTTTACACCTGCCTTGAACACAAGATACAGGATTGAGTGGTTAACTAAGAACATCGGAACTAATAAGTTAGTCTATCATTAGCAACAGGGGAAGGGAAAATGTACTATTTCGCGGGCGCATCAATAGGATTTCCAAAATCCCGTGTTTTTTTCGCTTTGCGTCGCCGGAATAAATCCCGTAGTATAGAACATGGTGTACCTACAAGCTAAATTACTTAAATTTAAACCTATTATCATGATTCTTGTAGATTCCAAGTATTGCTTCCAGAATTTAAATTATATGCTTCTGAAACTCAAAATTGGCGTCGCGTTGCCGCTTCGCGTTCGGTCTGTGTCGACCTTTAGACGATACTTACCAATATCGAATGGGACTGCTTGGTGCATAGCTTGGCATGCGGAGTTACTGCATATCTTTAACTTTGATGGAAATAAGTTTAACGGATTCAGATCGGTGATGAGGTAACAATTTCCCTTCTTGCCTGGATGGGACTTAGGTGGGAGGGGAGAACACTTTCTGGCAATCGCTACAGCATGGAACAAAAACTTCTGGCCAACCATCTGAGATGCCTGTTCCAGGTGTTAACGTCATGTTCCAATATTGTTTATGTTGTCGTTTTTCGTAATTTATAAGGGAGCTGCCTTGCCAAAGCGATATCAACTGTGTAGTCCCTTGCGGATGCTTTACTGTTTATATCAGGCAATTGTTTCCTCTTCGGTTGGATTGTCAGGTAATGAAGATGGTTCAGTCTCCTCCTGCTTTGTTGTGCTAAGCAATACATGTGCAAATGTATGCAATTACACTTCACTTTTTTGTGCTTTCCTTTCGCCATATAACCACGACAATCTTTGCCAGTACACGACATACCCTCTTTTGTTACGTCAACGTGACAAAAACCAAGTGGATTGCTGGCTGTTGCCTCTGCGTAAATCGCGTGGTTGGTGTGTGAAATTTTTTACAACAGGCGCAAAACCATTGTCTTTTGCAAACTGACATGCTCGCGAAAGACTCTCGCTAATGGTGCTGCTACATGGGTAGGTTGTCAGCGATTCATTGTTGACGGAAATCTGTTGCAAAGGAGTTGTTTTTTATCTACTGCCTCGTTATGTGTTCGCAGGTAAACTGTTTTGTTTCGCCAGAACTAACATGCATTGCACGTTTATCTTTGCAGTTGTTATTCAAACACATCCAATTACCACTTTCATCCTTTGTAACAAAACACCTGTTTCCACGTTTAGTTGTCGCAACTGAAACAATTGATTGGGTTACGGTGACTGCGCTAGAAATTTTTACCGCAGTTTTGGGTCTTTTTTCTGACGTATGCGATCCACCAATAAATTCACCGCAACTCGAACACTCTTTGGGCTTATAGCGATTGAAATACTCAGCACTGCATTTCGGGCACTGCCCTTTGCCACGTTTTCTTCCCTTCGAATCCATATCCAAATATTACAATAATTAAATAAAATACGATCACTTCTCAACGAAAAAATTGTATAAAACGCAACGCTCTTACTATAAGTTTGACAGTTGATGAAGTAATCATGCATGTTTAAGCTATTGTTCAATTTAGTAACCCCTTGTCAGCACTTTTGACTTTCCTTAAGTTTTGATTGGACAAACAATAGAACGCCATAGTTGTTTTTACTTTTGCCAACGCGGCGTATTTACAAAGTTCAAGCCAAAACAATGGCTAAAAAGCATTTTTTTAAATTGGGATTAAAAGCAAAATATTTACATCCGAATCCATAACATGAAGAAAAGTTAATTAGTGTTTTTACAGTTTTCTACAAAAGTGACTAATATCTCATACTAAATTCGTGGTTTTTAACATACATTTGAAGCTTTAAATTTTTTTGCCAACACAGCTTCTTTTTAAAGTGCAAGCCATTGTCATTTTTAATGGAGCTATACAAATCTGACTAAAACAATTTAAAATAAATTTTTCCTGGAGTTCTGATACGTTACACCAAAACACAAATGATGCATTGTTTTCATGTCGTCGATCAAAACAATTTTTAAGCACATTTGGTTGGTTGAGGAGATCGAACAATCAGATTGTCAAAGTTACTTTTGACTTGCTAACACAGCATATTTGTAAAGTGCAAGCTAACACAAAAACACAATAGAAGCAAATCTCACACTGACCGTGCACTGACGAGAGACAAAATAATCAAGGACAGGTGTAATATACAGATCTACTTAGCTTATCATGAGCTCGCCAAAAAGTGATGAAGACTCCATTTATTCTGAGACAAGGGATAATGAAGAAGAGGTGAGTTAAAAATTTCGATTACAATTAATGTATACATGCATGATAAGCCGTTAGGTTAGCGGTAGAAAAGAAACCAGTGGCGTCGCGATGCAGGCAGGGAGGGAGCTGTACCCCGCCCAGCGGGCGATTTCGCCAAAGTATTTTCTATTGCCAAAGAACAAAATTTGGAAAACATCTATAAATTTGACTGAGCAGTTTCGTTTTTTCATAGTATATAAAACTGGTGTTTTTTTTAATTCTATAGTGGGGAGAAACGTCTTTCCACGAGTTATTCGCAGAAAAGCAAGGCCAGACGTATATAAAAAATGGCGAGGGCTGGGTGTTATTTGGAGATTTCACTCTTAAATTTTTGGGGGAAATGAGTTGTGGCAGCTGGGTGTGCTCATGTACGGCCCGGGTTCTTGGTCAGTACGAGCAAAGGTATATCAATATCGTATTCTTCTCTTGTATATATTTTATATTGGTCTGTTCTGTTCTGACATTTTCATACATACCATATCACCCGATGTAACGATATTTCACCCAATGTTTTTTGAATGCAAAGGTAATATTACTGTATAACCTATCCCGTAAAATTTTGACAGCTCTCTTCGCTCTCGTCTCGAGGTTGTACTATTTTTGGTTTTAGTTTAAAATTGCATGCTTTGTTCATCGCAGGAGAATTGTGATACCAGCCAGTGCGTTTGATTCAAAACCGAAATTTCTCGAGAAAACAAGAAACGCATTCGGTGGCGGCCTGTTCAACATAAGTGATGCTAACGTGAGGGATATTGAGGCATATTACAATTACCTCAAAGAGGAATACTACGCAGGGAGTCCCAAAGCGTATTACGGGGTCGAGCTAATTGGACGGCAAAAAGAGACAGGCTACTGGTGTCTTTCAAGGGAGGTATGGGCATTAACGTTTTTTTTTAAATCTTCATTGAGAATTGCGCAAAAAATAAATGGGACATGCATGCAGGTATTGCCATTGTTAAAAACTCCCAGTGCGTGTTCACTTGCAACTGGTTAATCCTGCCTCTTTTCTTAATCTTCGAAATACATGCACAGTTATGTTATCCACGCGGACATGACAACCGCAAAGTTTTTTTTTTTCATTACTTTCTTCACATCCATGCGCTATATGTTGCTGTGGCGTACATAGCGATGTAAAAATCCCATTATAATTACTATGTATCTATAATAGTTTGTTTCATTTCAGATACAAATAAACAATGATGGCCAGTTTCTTAAGGAAGAAGACAAGAAACACTATTTTAGCCAAACGGATCTGACGGATTTTGAGCTTTTCCTTGAGGAGCGATTATTAAGCGACAGCTCAAATTTGTTGCTAATATGCCAAAGGTTTGTTCATTTTTTACCAACAATTTACTCCGAATACAATCGATTTCAAAATCACAGATTAAAACAGTGGCGGACACTGTCATATGACCCACATGAAATATTGGGGGTAGGCGTTTCGAGAATTCTAGGGAAATTTAGGCATGCCCCCCAATTGAAAAATAATGCATAAAATTGTATTGTAAAACATATACCGTCGCGTGAGAGACTGAAGTATAATAGCGTTAGATACTACAGACATATAATATTATAGTGAGGTTGATTAAAATTGTAATTATTTGCACCAGTTCACATCTCCTTCCCTTTAAGAACAAAGTATAAGATGTCGTTTAAACACCATTGGTGGGGTTAAATAGTAGCAAACATAAGATGCAGCAAATCTACGACGCGTATATGAGGAGAAACTATTGTTTTACCTATTATTCTATACAGTTTTATGATACGGAAAAAAACTAAAACTAATTTCCAAAACTGTTTTTATGTCACGACTTTGGTGCATCCTAAGCTCGCTAGTGAACCATCTGAGCACAATCCATTTCATATAGATTTATCGAGGAATCATTGGCGTTCAAGGAAAATACAATGGCCTTCAAGTTAGCGACAGCATTTCTTCTGCTTCGTCTCTTAAGAACAGGCGATAATAACCATTGGGGTACGCAATTTTCAATATCTTAACTTGGCATATAATTAGTGTATGCATGAAATCGTTGATGCAACTATATCTATGGCATAATTTCTAGTGGTATAAAGGTTTTCTTAAACAGGACGTTATAAAAGTCAATTCTCTAAATACTCGTGCTAGGACATTTGCGTACGAGGTTTGAATCATATGCACGGTTGAATTGAGTTAATTCGAGTTTTCTCGCATATTTCATTATAGACGAGAGTTCAATCTTGCTGCTACATTCCACCATTGCAGAGCGAAATGTCGGGAAATCCTTTACCCTAGATATCCTTTCCAAGGCACAGGGTGTTAATCGTAGACAGCATTCTTTACTGCTGGCTGGTGGAGATCAAAATAAAACAGGAACATCTGTGTAAGTCAAAATATACTATTATTCTGTCCAGTTAACAAACATCTATTTATTAGGGAAGTACATAAACTGAAAAAGCATCCCTCATCAACAAAAAAATGTAAAACGTTTTAATTAAACATTATACACATGCTCTATTTACTCATTACTATTTATGCTTCAATTTTGCGCTCTATAGGGCAATGATTCGAAAAATTTTGACACAAACTAATGTAGTGGTCATGATAGACGATCCAATAATAACGCCAGGTATGGAAGAGTTTCTCCTGCAAACAGGTAGTGGGCTCTTTGCAGGGTCGATAGCAGGTGGATTAGCAGCACCTCAAGGAAGTTTGCTTTTGACCTCTAACAACGATGTTTTCAATAGGTAAGAGAAATCAGAGTATTGACATGCACGAATCAATTTGTATTTAGTTGTACCCTTGCAACAAAGTACGTATAGAATAGTTCATGATCATGAATACAAATATATATATATATATATATATATATATATATATATATATATATATATATATATATATATATATATATAAATTTCGCATGACATGTGTATAACAACTGCCTAAAATAGACAAAACATTTCTCGCCCTTACGTCGTGACAAGGACCCTGGCTTAGGTCAAAACGTCGAGAGGTGCTTTGTCTATATTTTAGGCAGTTGTCATACCACATTTGATAAGAAGCTGTTTGAAGACGCTGCTCTCTAGTTATATTGGAACGTATCCATGCACAAACATATCATGCATATAAGTCTACGGAATTCCTATATATACTGTGAAAATATTAACATTTTCAGAGCCGATGGGAGGATCATTGTGCTAAAATACCGAAAAACGCCATTTTCGGTAGAAGACAGGCAAAAGCTTAAAGCCGGCATTGGATCAATAGCTGAAATTCACACGGTATAATGTTATCTGAAGTTATCGTGTGTTCGTAAGATTTTCGCCACAGGATATTCAATTTATTTTATTTTTACCTTTACTTATATAGGGGTTTCTACTAGCATGGGTGATCAGAATGTTTCCTTTTTGGCAACAGCAATTCCCGACAATTTCCACCCTGGTGGAAAAAATTTTGTCACGATTAGTTCCGCCCAAAATTCAAGACAGATGGCAACAAGGGGCTTCAGCTATTATAGCAACATATGCGATAGTACGTTCACCTTTCGACCAAAAATGTGTAGACGCTAGGGTTAGGACATGCGCTCGATCGTCTGACAAGAATCGCACCTACGTACGCCTTCCAGTCAGAGGAACGGAGTGCATTCTCGGTACTAAAATTGTATTACCTGTTTGAACAGGTATCTTTCGCCAGGAAACAAGACACTGACAAATTCCTTTTATGTTGATTTTCCCTCTCCAATATGATGTTCTTTTTCAGTTTGAAACATCTGTAGGCATAAAACCACGATGCAAGGATGCAATTATGAAACTGATTCAAGATATGGCTGTGGAAAAGGGCAATGATGGCCCAGATTTATTGGAAAAATTAAATACATGCCTGATGGAAAGACTGACGAGGGATGACGAAAATGTACGTAATTGAATAAATTCAATTGATAATAACTAACTAAATTTCGACCAATTTGGCAGTGAAATACCATTGATGCAACCAAACGATGTGGTTTTCACGAGCTAATTATTACTTTACGTTCGTGTACCTATTGGCTTTGCAGGCACTTGTCATTAGGGCAGTTTTCCACTAGGTCAATTTTCTTCTATTGTGAGAATTCAACCGTAGCGGAATACCTTGACCAGTCACAATGGAAAAGAAAATCGAGCCAAAAATTTCACATTCAAATTCAGCCTAGAGGTTGCTCATACAATATCGAATTTATAACTAATTATCGTTTTTCTCAGGTTATGAAATGGCTTAACCATTAACGACTGTTCCCGTTAACCAACAATATGGCCCAGCAATAGGAATAAAATCGTCTGTTCTGGACACGTTTATCAATCTAAAAAGCAAGGTATGTTGTCATAAGATAGTCCTGTGTACATTAAGTGCACCTAATGACCTTGATTGTGAACCCATATGAAAAGAAAGTGATCACGCAACACTTAGCAATAAATTGAAATCCCCTAAGAATAAAGAACATACCTGTTTTACATTTTTATTTTTAATGCGAATCTGTATACACTGTTTAATGTACCATCTGTCACACAGGATGTTTCAGCATTTCTGAAGAGTATGTCAGATAAAACATCAAGCATATCAATGATGTTTGCTGTTCAGGATGACTGTACTATAACAGACATAAAAAAACGAAACGAGGAGAAATGCAAGATGGCCAAAGGTTGGAAAATTCCAATTGCAGTGATAAAACCAGAAGCACTGCACATAATTAATGGTAAATATGTCATATATGCTATAATGCTCTTTAGTGCACAAACAGTGAATAATAAAGTGTTTGGGATGTCATTTCAAGGGAAACTTACAAAATCTTAAATGAAAATGGAAAATATCTTTGATTCCCTGCATATCATTTATTATGAGCAGATAAATTCAATCTTGAATGGCCAATTCATGAAAGTGAAGATTCTGGGGATAAAGCAACATCAGATCAGGTAATAACTGAAGAAGAAGAGGAGGAATTAAATAATGTAGAAGAAAGGCTGATTAATCTAGGAAAAGGTATTAATATTTAATCATAAAACTTGTATGAGTGTAGAGATGATTTTAGTTCTTGCCTCCTGTCCATATATACCATATTACATCCAAATGAGATGGACTTGAACCATGTCTTGCATAGTTCTATAATTAGTTGCCATTAATTATTAATATAATTCATTATCATTTCTTAACGTGTAATGGATGAGATCTTGTAGTGTGTTTGTAGTGTGTACACACATACTGCAGGTAATCAATTTATTATTTATATTTAGATTTTGTAAACACCTTGTGTGGTAGCACCAATGAACCAGAAAGAGAAAATGAGCCTGCCCCTGTAAGTGGCTTGGTTAACAATTTCTTGAATACTCTAATTTCTAACAGGAAAATCATGTATAGAAAAAAATTAATTAAAACATAAAAAAAACCCCATGAAATCCTCACTACTCTTAGAACATTCAATTGAATTAATTACCTTATTATCTATATATCTAATTTACCTGGTACTTATTATATTATCATGTCTTAAATAGTCCTTCTTATCGCCAAACACAGCAAAATGGTGGACAACACTAACACCAAATAGAAAAGAAGTATTTCAAAAGGTAAATTCTAGTATAGGTAAATTCTGTATAGTGTTAATACAGCCCTGCTTGACAATTCCTACACAATACTTAGGAGTTAGGATAATTTGAAATGCTTCTTTATAGGGTGTCCAAGCTGGGATAAAGCTCTCAACCTTTGAAGAAGAGACAGACCCTAACCCAAAAACTACAAAAGGCAAGTGATTTAGACGTATTAAAACGCAATATAAAAATAAAACAAAATTTTCATATGCAATAAATATTTTGCAATCTCACTGCCTTTAAATATTTACAATAATAAATAACCAATCTTCACTTGTACACACACTTAGATAAGGCCAAGAAACGGCTGTTTGCAGAGGGGACAGTCGGAGTTCAAACAAGAAGAGGTACAATATGCAAATAATATTATTAACTATATGTAAAAGCTTATATACTGGTAATGTAAAATTAATAAAATAGAATTTTTACTCAAAAAATACCTTGCAGTCAGGCAGAACATTTCAACAAGCTCCCCAACAACAGAGCACTGCCAAGCATGTGGCCTAGTAAGTCCAACAAAAGATTGGTCTAATCAGTGGGTACAGTGTGATGGCTGCGATAAATGGTTTCATTTGTAAGTAGCAATATGTTATTGAAATATCAATTTCACAAAATACAATCAATACACTCATCGTAACTCTATGGAATAGTCTTCCAAATTAAAGAAAATATTTTTCCAACATATATTGCTTCGGGGAGAGACCCAATTTAAAATTGTTACCATACACTAGTCAACGTGCCGAAAAAATATTTCAGAAGACTTTTAAATTGATATTACATAACTAATAAAATCGTTTTCTATAACCTACAAAATATCTTCTTATAGGGAATGTGTAAAGTTAACAGCACTACCAATGGAAGAAGAACCATGGCAGTGCAACGATTGCGCATAAAAAAATTTGTATATTAAAACTGACAGTGCCAGATGATTTCTGGTAGTTTCGTACTCTTGTCATTCATTCTCCTGCCATTTTATTGTGCTAGATTGTGCTATAGTGTCAGTATTAATTGTTTTTTGAATTTGGAATTGATATTTTCAACGATGTCATATAAAGTATAAAACAGCAAGTTGTAATTTATAATTTTTGGGATATTAATAATAGATAGTCTCGAAGATATTTGCCGTATAAATATACAACGCTACAAAAGCTACCTTTGGTCGAAACTATCACGGTTAAACACTTTGTTGCATGCATAAAACGTTTATATAACTTATATAAGTATGTCCTTGAGGTACACGTATAACTGCTGTCCGCAAATATGCAAAAATACGGGAATCTTACCTCCATTGCTTGTCCTTCAATATCATGGTTTCAAATTATATCGCTGTTGTTGTCGGTCGCCAGAATGATTGAAAAAGCGCATTATCACAGCAGAGTCTACTTTACAAAACTCAGAGCAATTAATAACTATTAAAAACAAGCAAAAACCAGAAAGTAAACGTATATATACGAGTATTTTTTCATACATCGCATTGCGCCATGACAGGCATATTGACTTCCGGAAATTAACAAATATAATTAAAATTCTAAATTCTATTCTATGATTGGTTCGAAACCCTTGAAACCCGAAATCTCATTTTAGCCAATCAGGTTAGATCTTGCGAGAGGTGCTACATATCTGGATGGCAGAAATTATCCAAGAGTTATCGTCAAGGTGTCCAACAGTTTTTAAAGTTCTTTCATCTCTTATGGATATTGAATATAATTATGACAAAAAAGTGGCTCCAACATGTCTCATATATGGCATAATTATGTTCAAGCGATGCCATGAACTGAGTAAGATACAACGAATCAACACAATTCTTTTAACTGATGGAAATACTACTCACACTGTAAGTATATTTAACCTTTTGTGAATAAAAACAATTGTGTGTAAGAAGTCAAAGTGCAAAGGGTTCGATCACAGTCAGGCACATTGCAGCTTTAGGCAAATAGCTAAAAGCCTTTCAAAAGACATTTTTATTTTGGTTCCATGTCAATTAACTAAAATCTAAAAATTGTATGCCATTGCAATCAAAGAATTTACATTGAAATCTGAACATCCTATTTCCATTTGGGACACTCTGTGGATAGCAGGATACTACAGATGTAATTAGCCTTGATTTAATTATAATTTTTACAACCAGTTTTCATTACACATTTAATATATAGGTGTTTGAAAGGCTTAACAAGTACGGATTTTGCCTGGAGCGAAACATGAAATATACCTTATTAGATGAAATTGGTGAACATTTCCTCGACCATGCAATTGAATTGGTCAAAACTGGCCACAGATTTACATACGTTATTGATAATATTGACTGGGAAACTAAAGTACATGATATGAGACAAGATAACCAAAACAAGAGCGTGCATGCTCTGTCCACCAGCATTGTGTTTGATCGTGTTTCATCAGATCACTTGCCAAACGATGGCCCTCAGAAACAGTTAGCTGCGACCAAATTTATTGATGTCATTAAGATTACTGACCAAGAAAAAGATGCTATTAAAGTATCATTCAGAGTGATAATCGCCGAATTCTTGATTGAGTATTTGAAATCATTTCATCCCTTTAAAGAAGTTATACCAGAGCACCCGCAGAGCTTATACTCAAAGCAAATGATGGAACAGTCATATGTAGTGACAATGCCGGTGTTGATGCGGGACGAAAAAAAGTACTCAGAATGCGTTGATGTTGTAGATCAACTAGAGACCTGGACCCATGACATCTTTAAGGTTGCAGGTCTTTGTGAGGACAATCAACAACCAGCAAGGCAGCCAGATCAACTACAACATGTTTCGTCCAGGCCTGATCAACCTGCTTCTCACATCCCCCCAGTTTTCACTGAAGGTGATCCTTTATCTGGGGTTACCATCCCCTGTTATGGTGATCAATTGACTCGGGTTAGGTTTGCTGGCATCAAAGACCTTCGAGCTGGCTGTCACACACCAAGGGAAAGACTCGATCATATTTACCCATTTCGAATTGTGAATTGGCACACAAAACAAAGTTTTCTGAAGGTAAGCATGTATAATACATATATAGATTTGAAGGCCATCATATATATAAACATTAAACATTGACAATCTGCCCAACCTTAACTAATGTTGGAAAATGCTGAGCAAAGTATTATGGCCTTAGACAAAATAGTATAAGGTTGGACACATTGTCAGTGTCATAACTGAATTAGCAAATCCATTCTTATTAATCCATGCAGATGCAATTATGCACATGAATGCACCCTACTTTATTTTGTACTTTTGTATATTGCACCTATATAGGTTGAACTAATATAAATTTCTAAATAAAGGAATTTATTAAAAATACTCAGAAACATTTCTTTTTATATTACAATTTGTACAGCTCACATTTAAAAGACTATACAAAAGTTCATGTAGAGAACAAGGTACACTTCGGTATTTCAGGGAAAAGTTGATGAGAAGAAATGTAACACAGGATGTAAAACACTTCGAAGACTGCGAACAGTTTTTCTTAAGTGTTGGGAAATGCTTTGTGATAGAGGCATTGATGGAGTTTTTTGGCATATCTGAAGAAGACGGAAGCCCAACAAGAAATGTCCCAAACTATGCATACCTGATTACCAAAACACAGCAAGAAAAGTACTTGATGAGTAAGCTCGATGCTTTCCTCAATCAGCATGTATTTTTCACTCAAGAGGAAACAACTGAAGATGAAGATGCTCCTGATCAAATATTTAATTATTCAGTTAACATATTAAGGAACTATTTTGTGTTGGCAAGTTTGAAGGATGCAGTAAAAAATGGAAATGGTGACTTTCTTGCTACACTTCACAAAGAACTATTTCTCCACTTCCATTCACATTCCAGCTTCAATGCATATGCCATAGAGATGCTGGTAAGTATAGTTCAAAATGAAGTATTACTGAGTCCTGCACAAGCTCACCAATGCAGATGGGCATCTACCTCCAACTGGAAAGGGGGAAAGGGGAAAAACATAGAAGTTGACCTACTTCAAGAAAACAGGAACAAAGATCTCAAGGATATTATCAAAGCAATGGGTGCCAATAAAACGGAAAAAGCCATTAAAAGAGCAAGCAAGCAAGGCAGCTGGGGGAATGAAGTTAATCACAAAGGTATTTGACAAGGAGGTGTCCCGACATAATCCTTCATCAGCAAGAACTGCTAAATCTTCTAAACAAGATGAGAAAATAATTCTGGATGACCTAAGGCAACTACGTCCTTACAGAAAAACACCAGGGAGGGCACATAAAAGTTTTCCTCATATTTCAGCTGACCCTCTTCAAGACATTGATCCAAAGAAGCTGGAAGAGTGGCTTAAACGGCATCAAAACAATCTTCTCATACACTTTCCTGATCAGGAGAATGAAGAATCTGATGAAGAAACCAATGAAGAATCTGCTGAAGAATACAATGATTAAAAGTGTACACAACATTATATAAGCATTATGTCTGATTGTCTAATTATGTATCACAAACTGTTTACATTAATATTCATGTTATAAAACATAATGCAGGGTAGGAATTAGCATATCACAATAAGCCTTAATCTATAACTTATGTCATAATGACCAGTGAAAAAATTTTGTTCATGGTTTTAAAAAATGACTATCCAATGGATAGCACTATCCACCTTTTCAAACAACCAGCCTCTGGTGATTCATGTGGATTAAGGGGAGGTAAAATTGTTCAGTTGCAATAATCACGATGCACTTTTGTGATGTTAATTTGTACCCTGACATACTATAGAACACTTAATAAATCTAAATTTATATTGTCTTATCTGTTGAAGGAACTGATGAAAAAGTTTGATTGTCTAATTCATACTATAAACATACTATTAATACAATTAATAAATATAAATTTATACTGTCTTATCTAGTTTAAAGAAAAGTCTTCAAAAGCAGGAAGTTCAGCATCTTTGCATTGAATGCATTGACAAGATTTTTTACACACACTGCAACATATGTGTTGTGGATTGAGGTTTTGTGGTTGTTCAGCATCAAGCGATTTCAGCAAAATTACTCTTAAACATTTGGAATTGCTATGACAATACTCTCTAACTTCTTCTTGCATATCCTTCTTTTGGTTCTAGATTGCCTAAGCTAGACCTCACCAAAATGCATTTTGGCTACAAAAATTAAGTGCAAAGCTAAAAAAATACAACCTTTCAAACTGTTCAATTTCTTTCCAAATTGACATATTAATTAAAGTGCAAATATAAGTGTAGTACTGGAAAAATGTAGCTTGCACGAGCCGGCCTAGTTTATTTCTTCTGGGATGTTCTACAAGTATTCAGCAAGATAAACATTTCTGAATAAATGTGAAAATTTACAACATAATATGGTAATTATAAAAGTTAACGACATGGTTAGGTGCGTAAAATACATAAAATTGTCTCTGAAGTCTCAATAATTTTATGCTTGAATGCTATAAATTCAATAATATGAAACCAGATAACATACATATTTCGCTCGACTGCCGAGACCCCGGGCAAATAAAGTAAAATAGTTGAACGAATACCGGCGTGTACTCAACTCTTATGATTTATTTCAACATTATTTTTTAGCAAATTTTGCAATATAGTAGCAATTAAAAATCCAAATACAGCTTTCGGTTTTCGCTGCGGCCATTTTATATCCACAAATACTGATTGAACGGTTTTTTCCACTTCTGTCGCATAAAAATGCATACGGATATAAAACGTTGGCAGATTGGCTGCTGTTTAAGTATGTCGTCCCTCATTGGCTGCAGACAACTAAACTAACCTAACAAAGTTTCAAACCCGATAGCAATGTATCTGCGAGTGCAGAGTGCAGAGTGCGCAGATACAAAAATGCTTCCAGACTTTCAGTAAACTATTAACTTTACTATTAGGTCGAAAAAGAGCCCCATTAATCTTTATTTAAACATTGAGTCAGCTCATAAATATTAATATATAGTATCTACAGTATTTACATCAAACATGATGGAAATTCTGTCAGAGGTAATTTGATTTTAGCATTTTTTTCTTTCCAATTTCTCAGTTTGGCTGTTTTCTCTGATAAGGTAAAAGGAATCTTCTCGACTTTCATTTCGCTCAATATCGTCCTTGACTGTTGTAAACAGAGGTGAAAGGACAACTTCAGTTCATTCCCTGTAACTTTGAGAAACAAGCTGTAAAAATCAGAAACAAAATTTGGATTTGATTTTCCAAATTTCGTTTTTCATTTCCAATTTCAGAGGAAAACAAATGGCGGAATGGTACACACATTCATAATGCATTTTTTAAAATTTTTATAACTGCAAACAAAAATAAACAAAAACTCTTCATAATTTTCAATTTCAATTATCCGATATTCAAAATTTCCAACTTAAGCAAATGATACAAATTTG